AACTATTAACAAAAATGTATCTTATTGGTGTAGTACCAGTGTCAGCACCAATTCAGAGATGATTTGAGGATCTACAGCCTAACAATACACAAATAAGGTACAGTTTTGTTAATTATTAAGGTACATGAATGCATTTTTTGGCTTTAACTCCTAAGTTTAGTGTCACTTTATCTAATAGTTGTAGCAATAAAAAAAGCTAAAAGCCCAATTTACTAACCTGAATCTGTGGACAGGTGACATGCCTGGTCCCACATTTTATATTTTTTAGCCTGAAAAGTGGGAGGATCCTTCATAAGGTGCCCACATTACTTCCTGAGGGACATGGACTTTCTATTGGCTGTCCAGTAGTGCAGTTCTCCGTTGAAGCATCATGATGAAGGGACTGCATTGCAGCAGTCATGGAAATATGAGAGCATTTTGTTGAATCTTTAATTTTAAAAAAAAAAACGACACTGACAGAGAGAAGAGAGGATGTTCACCAGACGGGATGAGGTATGCTGCCGGGTCCCCTCCTCTCTCCTGACACTGTTGGGCTCTCGGTCCATGACTGAGTCCCTGACTTTTTAAAGGGGGTGACACCAAAATGACTGTCAGTCATTTTGGTGTCACCCCTCAAATGGTGTCACCCGGGTGCGGACCGCACCCCCCTTCACCCCCCTTGTGATGCCACTGTTTTCACACTTAGCCTAAGCTTTACTGTACAGGGGATTGCAAGAAGCCGATATCAGGAGAGGTTCAGGTATTTACATCAGTTACAATTAAAACCAAACTTAGGGGCCTTCTTATAAACAATTATCAGGGCCCTTTGCACTGTGAATATCTGTGAACATTTGTTTAAGGGGAATAATGCAAAAAAAGAAATGTTCTTTATATATTTTTCACAGTTGAAATAATATTTCGTAATATTAGATTATGGCCACTAGATGGAGCTGAGTAACATAGAAAATTGGTATTTATTTCCCATGCTCGTCAGCCATATCTAGTGGCCATGATGTAAAATTACAACATTACATTCAAACTGGGAAAAAATATATTAAGAAGATTCGTTGTTGGCATTCTTCACCAAAAACTAACCTTCACAGATATTTACAGGGCAAAGGGTTCTGCAAATTGTTTAGAAATAGACCCCCAGATTATTCTATAAATACAAAACTGCATTCAAGAGTTTTTTAGTTTTTTTTAATTACATCTGCCTTAAATTCAGCTTCAATGATTCCTAATGAAGAATGCCAACTAAGCCCTCATTCAAACTAGAAATATAGTTACATAGTATTTGGTGTTGAATAAAGACATACGTCCATCAAGTCCAACCCATATCGGTCCACACTCAACTCATTCTTAGGAATACTTGTATCCCTGAATATTACGGTCCCTTAGGAAATCGTCCAAAAGTTTCTTGAACAATTCTACACTCTTAGCTGAAAACACTGGCGGGGGCATTGAGTTCCAGACCCTTACCGCTCTTAATGTGAAGAACCCCCTGCGCCCCTTGTGCTGGAATTTTTTCTCCACCAATTTTAGGTGGTGGCCTCTAGTCTTTGTAATGTAGTTAAACTTAAAGGGGTTGATTTACTAACCTTATAAACACGCCACGAACAAGTATACACCTCTGTAGTGTGTTCCCTCCCAGCATGATCTATTGGTGGAATCTAGACACCTTTGTAGTGTGTACACACCCAGCAGGTGTGTTGTGCAAAGCCCTGCATGAATTTCAAGGTGATGTTGTGTAAATTAGCTCTACATTGTGTTGCTTGCGTTGATGAATGCAGGAATGTAAATGCATGAGCTAACCATTTTTGTCTAAACTGTGAAGCAGCATTATATATGCATCATGTGCATGATTTTTCCATATATGGCATTAGTGGAAATATGCTTTTAGAGACTTTTTGATTGATAAATACGTTTTGCTGTGTAAAAATCACACGCACCTAGTGCATGCATGTGTTTAGGTTAGTAAATCACCCCCAAAGAGTTTGTTGCCAATCTTGCTGTCACCATTGAACATCTTGTACATGAAAATCATATCCCCCCTTAATCTCCTTACTTCCAATGTGAACATGTTTAAATTTAGTAGCCTTGTCTCATAGCTCTGGTCCTCCATTCCCCTAATTAGTTTGGTTGCCCTCCGCTGGACTCTCTCCAGCTCAAGGACATCCCTTCTTAGTACTGGTGACCAAAACTGGACCGTGTACTCCAGACGAGGCTGAACCAATGATCTATAAAGTGGCACAATTATAGACTTGTCTCTGCAATACATCCCCTTCTTAATACAGGACAAGACCCTGCTAGCTTTGTTTACCGCAGCCTGGCACTGCAAGCTACCATTCAGTTTGTGGTCTACAATGACCCCCACATCTTTTTCTATTTCTGACTTCCCTAGTGGCATACCCATGATTGTATAGCCTATTTGTTTATTTTTATTTCCAAAGTGCATTACTTTGCATTTATCGACATTAAACCTCATCTGCCATATTATTGCCCACTCCCCTATTTTATCCAGGTCCTCCTGTAATGTTATATTGTCACGATCCATTTCTAATATCCTCCCTATTTTTGTATCGTCTGCAAACACAGAAACATGGCTATTCACTTACTCCCCGATATCATTAATAAATAGGTTGAACTATATGGGACCCAGCACAGATCCTTGAGGCACACCGCTCATTAGACTAGCCCAGTCTGAAAAGGTGCCATTATTAGATACTCTCTGGACACGTTCCCGTAGCCGGTTCTCTATCCACAAACACACCACTTAATCTATGCCCATAGCTCTCAGCTTGTGTATTAAGCGTTTGTGTGGTACCGTATCAAATGCCTTTGAGAAATCCACATATACCACATCTACCAGCTTCCCTCCATCCATATCTCTACTTACCCCCTAATAAAAAGTTAGCAAGTTAGTCAGGCAGGAACGGCTTTTCCTGAACCCATGCTGATTGTCATTAACTATGCCATTATTCTTAACACATTTTACCAAATAGTCCTTAATCATACCTTCTAGCAGTTTACAAACTACCGATGTTAGACTGACCGGCCTATAGTTCCCTGGTTGGCATCTAGCCCCCTTTTTGAATATTGGAACTACCGTTGCCCTCCGCCAATCACACGGTACTCTACCAGTCAATAAGGATTCCTTAAAAACGAGGAATGGTCTTGTTATAACCTGGCTTAGTTCCTTAAGTACCTTGGGGTGCAGGTTATCTGGTCCCAATGCTTTATTTGCATTGAGCAGTTTAAGTCTTTTTTGTATCCCGGTTTCCGTCAACCACTGTGGTATATTTTGTGTTGAACTATGTGTTTTATCACGTACGTCAAACTCGTTTCCCTCCTGAGTGTAAACTGTGGAGAAAAAAAGTGTTCAGCGCCTCGGCCCTCTCCTTGTCATTTATGATTAACTTCCCATTTTCATCCTTTATTGGGCCTATCTGCTCCTTTCTTACCTTTTTACTGTTAATATATTGGTAGAATGTTTGGTCTTTTTTTTTTACTAGCTGTGGCGATATGCTTTTCACACTCTATTTTAGCTTCCCGGATTACTAGTTTGCATCTTTTATTACATTCTTTGTAGTTATGGAACGCCAATGCCGTCCCTTCCATTTATATTTTATAAATGCCTTTCTCTTTGCCTTAACATGTAGTTTTACAGTTTTATTTAGCCATATAGGTTTAGTCTTTGATCTTTTGTTAAAAGCACGTACAGCTCCGTGCTGCGTGCACAGCCATACTGGGCAGCTCCTAGGAAGGACAGGTGCTGCATATGATTAGTACGCAACCCCTGTCCTTCTCTATGGGACCACACGGCCACACGCCCCCCCCTACGCTCACCTCAAGTGCAGGTCCGTGCGGGTGCGTGTTTCCTAGCTTGGACGCAGACAGGATCCATCCTGTCAGCTATGAGTAAGCTCACCCGCATGGACGTGCAGGGCGGGTAAGCGTAGGGTGGTGTACGGCTGTGTAGTCCCATAGAGAAGGACGGGGGCTGCGTACTAATCACACGTGGCACCTGTCCTTCCCAGGAGCTGCCCGATATGGCCGTGCATCGAACTGTACGTGCCGGCCGTTTCTAGTGTAAATGAGGGCTAAATGAGGGCTAAATGAGCAAAGCTAAAGGTTTTTTCTCAAGAGCAACCTCCTACCTGCAGATGCTTACCTTAATTGTGCTCTATGTCTCGAGCTGTTGAACAATTACCAGTGCTTCCAGGTATGAAAGAGCATGTGGCTTCCTTCCAGGGTGCAGTTTTTCAGCATGAGCCACCAATACTGTCATGTGAGATAGGTGAAGAAGTCATTAACTTTGTATAAGCTTACACAATGTTAGGATTTCAAGCTCCAACTGACAAGCAGAGTGATAAGGAATCACTGCAAGGCAGTTGTTCATTAAAGAGAACCTCCCTTAAACCTCCCTTAAATGACTATATAAATTGATTACATTGTGTGGGGTTTTTTCATATCTGCCTGCAGTTGTTGTTGTGGTCACAGTAAGACTAATAATCACGAGAAACAGATCTGATCATTACCTGCAAATATTGAGCCATGAGGTTAACTATACATGGGAAAAATGATGAAGAATCTCTGCTACTGGATGCCAGCAATTACCTCTGGTATGGCAGTAAAGCTTTTACAGTGCATGTGCTGTGTCATTTTCCTTATGGTTGAGTAGGGAAAAAGACTGTTTAGCATCCCAAAATTGTACAGATTTTGGCGACCATAAGCATGTGCCGCACTGCCACTCATTCTCTGTTAGAGACCTGCCTTTTTTATTGTCACCATCTCTTTACCTGCACCTCTTTTTGCTGCAGAAAGATTTCAATTGCTTTTCAAATATTAGAATTTTACAGCATGCGTTTGACTCAAGGACTGCACAAAAAAAGGTAAAATTATAAAGGATTTTTTTACGATAGAAATATCCTTGGCATTAATATCACTTTCTCAGGATGACACATTGATTGTGGGCTGCTGCATTTAGAAATAAAAAAGAGAATCGTGTTCATGTGCTATAAAAAGAAAGGCTCAAGTTTTGTTTGATGTCAGCAACATATCGGTAAAGCTTTTTTCTTGATGAATAATAGCAAAAATGTCCTTGTGTAAAATTGCAAGCGCCAAATATAACTACAGACACAACGTACATACTGTTTAAATTCCTTTTAGAGAACATTTTGTGGTTTATACAATTGGAGCCTGGCAATAATGTTTTGAAAGTTCACTTCCAAGAATGCTTGTTCAGAAATCTGAAAATGCTCATTGCCATCTTCATAATGAGACAGATGGATGAAAGCGCTGGGTCTTAGGCTTCCCATTTTCAGTACAGACAGCCCACTCCAAAGCATATGGATATGCATGAAGCTCTTTGTGATGCCTCGCTGCTCCACAATCACAGTGAAGAGCTGTCACAGCAATGTTTCAGACGATACAGATCACTACAGGGTTTACATTTGTTGGTGCAGACATACTTATGTAAAGGGCCCGTGCATGTGGGCTGGACTAGCTGAGTAGCAGTTATTACAAGGGACCAGGTGAAGTAACCTTCCCTTTGGATTTCCTGTTTTTTTAAATTGAGGAATAAACAGTATGACAATACAGTAGCTATCCAACAACAAAAGTAATGGAGTGCTTCATTAACTGGTCTCCTTTTCTGGTATAGAGTGGGCTCATGATGGGGTGCTGTTCTGCGATACAGAACGGATGCTTCAAACCAGATGCAGGCTGGAACAGGGTGCCTTGCCAAACTTGCAGGAGTCTTCAGGGGTATTCTGGACCATACCTACACTGTCCCTACTCATCAGGAAACGTTCTCTGCACTATGCCTATCTTTCCTTTGACAGCGTAATTTGTCCCTGTCTCAATACTCCTCACACAGCATGACATGCCAAAATGACCAAGAAAGGGCTATATATAGCCTCTCTGGGTTCAGTATGGCTGCTCAGATCTCAGGAAAGCTCTGTGTCCAATCAGACACAGGCACCTGTAAGATAACCTCTGGGAGTCCAATGCAGAGGTCTTCTGCAGAGTTGCTCCTACTGCCACAGGTAAGCAGTAATCATGCCATCACTTGATTTGCCTCTAAGCAGAAAGTGAGTGAGCAATTTAACAATCACTGCCTCACTAGCCAGGCTGCTACCCGCCAGAGCATGTTAATGATTGTCGAGTGTAGTGGTGGCTGCTACATGTCCCACCACACAACATAGTTTTATCATCTGACCATGCCAGTAGATTTATTATTTTTACACTTCCTTTAATAGGCCAAGCTGTGCAGCAATGGGGACCGTTATAGTTAAAGGAAGTCCTAGTCTCTGCTGCTAAATGTTAAGAGCAGCTTTCAACCAGCCAGCATGGGACATATACTGCTAAACATTACATGGAAACACAGCTTTTCATTTCTACACAGCTCAGTTCAGCCACAAGGGCCAGGGAAGAAGGCACAAAACTGATTTGTCAGAGCTTACATGAGCCTATAGGCTCACACCCCATGTGACATTTCCGAGCCAATCAGGAGGCACCTAGCACTGTCACATGAGAAAGTAGAAGTGAGTTACATACTTACCCGTACCCAGAAGCGACTAGCACTTTATTTTGCTGTTAATAGGAGTGACTTGGGTGTAAGGAAAGGTGAGTGCATGATCTCATGACCTTGGGTAGAAGAAAGTTAAGTCAACCTTTTCCTTTGCCTTGCTTTACAAAAAAGGTCACCTTAATTGGTCTGCAGCCCTGCCAATATTTCTTTGTAAGCTTTGACTACTACAAAGTCAAAGAAGTAGAAAATGCACCTTGCCCTAATATGGCGGCCCTCAGACCTGGCCATTGAGAAGTAAGGCACTGAACATTGAGACAAGAAGGGGGCGTGTCATATGTTTCCCCATATCTAGAACGTCTGGATTTTTGAAAAATTGGTTGGCCTGCTGTGGCAGTACAATGAAGTCAAAGTCCAACTCCAAAACTTTGGATAGAAAGAGGAAGGGTTGAAATGTCTGTCTGGTTTAAAATTTCCAATTAAGGAGGTTTTCTGTCAGGTATTGTCTGACACTTCACCTAAACAGATAGTGAGGGTTAATCTCGCTGATTGAAATACAGCCAGTTATAAAATCCTGACAGAGGTTCTAAACCTGTGCCACTACACTAGGAAACTCCATAGGAATGAAAATGTTATTTTGTACATGCACATCTAGCAGACTTCTGCAATGACAGATGTGCAACACTTATCAGGCAACACAGTTAAGTATAACACTTGGGGGGAGGTTGATGGAGGGAATCATTTAAAGACTAACTGTACTTGTATCTTCTGTTGCAGCACTGTGCTGTACATATTACTACTGGGTACAGCAATCTATACATGGGATTGCTGGTGCCATGTTAGTTAATATGACCAAAGCTAAGATTGGATTATGTTTAGACCAGATAAGAATCTGTTATGGGTAGAAATGAAAGACATTCCTAAAATCTGCTCTAACATGTTTTTCACTTGAAATATGAACATGTATATGTATTTATTTCATGTGAAATGCATGCCCTGTGACAAATCAGCATTGCAGCACTTATCTCTGTCTTTACCCTATATCTGTCCCAAACCTGGGTAATCCAGATTGAACATTTGATGAAAAATACATAAGCTAAGGTTACATTTAGTTAAAAAAAAAACATGTCAAAAAAATCAAAAGGATCAGAGTTAAAGACAGATTAAATGTATATGCAAATGATAAAGAATAGGAAAAAAAAGTGTTTTTTTAAATGTTTCCCTAGCTCCTGTAAAAATAAAACAGCAGCTCTCACTGCAATACTCACCTTCTTCTTAAAGCACAGCGGTAATTAATTTTGGTCACAAGATGTCCTCACTCTTCCAGGTTTAAAGACACCCAGTGTCATTCAACCAAGAATAGGAAGGACAAGCTGTGAGTACAAGGCATCATAGACCCGCCCTCTGAGAGATTGTTATCATGGTGCTCTGAGCTCCCAGTTTAATGCTACAAAGAAAGGCACTAATGTTATCACATCAGTGATGCTCTCTGCATCAATAAAGCTTGAACAGTACTAGAGAAGAGGCATAGAAGGTGCGGACCAAGCATGCCACATGATGAGCTTGAAGATATCTGGAAAAAGTAAATATATAAATAAATAAAGCATAAAATACATTGGGGCACCAGGTGGGGGATGATGGGGCATTGGAAAAGCAAGAGGAGGGAGCCTGGAGTTTAAGTTTACATTTTTCTACAGAAGTCCAACTTGACCCTATCACCTCCTGAGGTTGTTAAACTCCTCTGTTGATTTTGTAATGTTATGAATGGCCTTACTGACCAATAGAACAGTTTTGGAAGCAAAGGAAAATATTTTACAGGAACACTTAAAGGGGTTCTAAACCCTCCGTTTTTTTTTGCCTATATCTACTGCTAGCAATTAAGAGGGGGGTGCTCTTGCTTGCTAGCAAGAAGAAGAAGATCGGATTAACAGACATCATTTAAGGTAAGTGCTAATCTTAACATTGGGGGGAGGGAAAACATTTTTGTACTTTAATGTCACTTTAAGATTAGCTAGTAACTGCAGTTACTGAAATGTCCTCTGTAAAAGAAGACTCCTAATACTTACCTCTCTGGCAATTGATGAGCTCTGAATTCATTCTCTTGCAGAGGGAAATCTTCAGCACCCAACATTTCTGGGTGTGTGAGACACCAGTGTCTTCTGCCATGAGTTATGGGGTTCCTGTAATGATAATGATGTTTGAACTTAATAATATTAAATATATATAGCTAAAGCAAATGCAGTCTTTCATTGTAGGTGACATTAGCCTGACTCTTCTTGAGGTCTCTTCAAATTCCAAAAAACAGAGATCTGCTAATCTGCACCTGTAATCTGTATAGTTCTTAAAGGAGATCTATGAGATGAGGGATTTCCACTCACCTCATAGTTCTAAGCCGACCTGTGACAATGAGACTGTCACAGGTCGGCTCAGTAGATCGGGAGGTGAGGGAACACATACCGGGTTCCCTCACCTCTCGATCCTGTCACGGCTCTCTGCCGTGACAGGGGGAGGGGCTGGATTCCCCTCTCCCCGCTCCGATCTGCCAGCGCTGACTGGCGGAACGGACGGTGGAGGGGGCGTGTACAGCTGGCTCTGCCTCTAGATAGGCAGAGCCAGCTGTCACTCACGCAGCTGGGCGGATCCCGTCATCTACGTCGGGATCCGCTCCAGGTGCGGCGTCTCAGTATACCGCGAGCTGTAGCTCGCGGTATACTGAGCTTAGGGTAACGGGAGGACGCTAGTTTGTGTCCTCCCGTTACCCTAAGGAGAACTATGGGGAAAAACACTGACCCCATAGTTCTCCTTTAAGTGAAGCACTAAAACTGATTGTTATCTAGAGTTTCCCCTAGACCTGGTGAGGATCAGCTTAAATGACTTCTTTATGAGCGGTGTTATAAACCACAAATGCATAGTAATACTTATACCCAGTTCAGCTAATCACCTAATATATTAGCAAGTGACAGCTTTAGATAAACACTGGAGTACCTGGTAAGGATAATGACCCAGGCCAGCCTCCAGTCATAAAACTGAGTTAGTTAGTTGGTATCAGCCTCTTGCAATCCTCTGTACAGCAGAGCTCAGGCTAAAAGAGGAATAAGCAACACAAGCATTTAGTCAGGTGTGCTGCAGTGGTCATATGCTAATGTGCTTATATGAGGAGAGAGCAGAGTGACATAGTCTGCTGCTTTTTCTTTCACTGTCCAGTCACAGTCTGGTACAAGGACAAGATCTGTAATTGTTACCTAAAGTGCAACTAAAGTCAAAACTAATTTTTTTTGTTTTGGATAGAGTGGAGAGGGATTATAACCGCTGTTTTTATGCTGCCGGTTGTCTTAGGGAGAAAATCCCACATTTTGGGTTGTCATCAGAACAGAAAAAAAAGGTTTCAGCTTCAGTTCTACTTTAACTCCAGTAGACAAAATTCAGGTCACCAGGTTTGCTGTGGTATGTGGCAGAGCTGTGTAAATATCAGGGCTGGATGAACAAGAACACAAATTCTTTGCCTGGTAAAACCGCTCACTTATGTGTGTTTT